AACCCTGCATTTTTTAACAATTAAAGAAAATATTAAATAGAAAGCATCTAGTATCTTCTTTTAAAAATGCACAAGAATAAAAATTAATACTCAAGTACGAAGTAGATTGCAAATATACTCAAGTATATTTACAGTCTTCAAATTAAACATACCCCAAAGTTCTAAATTACAACTACGGGAAAATTAAAAGTAAATGTATGTGTGTTTATATATATATGTATGATGTAAAGAAAATACTTTGACTCAAACAAAACTTAAAAACAAATACTAGAATTATGATGGTGGGGGAAAAAAAAGAAAAAAAAAAAAAAAAAAAAAAAACATGAAAATGCAGTAATAATTACAGCTCATCACATTAAAAAGAACATTCTTTAAATCACCATTTTTTACCTTTAAATAAATAACTTAGCTAGTTCAAAGCTTACATGATCCTATAAATTAACTAAAATAACTTGGATAATATATACACTATTTTGTTCGTCTTTATCTACCACAGCAAAAATGCCAAAACCATTAAAATTAATGAAACAAAACAGTAATTACATCCTCACAGGAATAAATAACATATTTTTATAGATGATTGCAACATCTTATAGGAAAATATATATCTTTTTTTATTAAATAGCAAAGTAACAATGAAATAAGAATGATTATCAGGCAGCAAATAAACGTAGCAAAAATTTTAAGGAGGAAAAGACTATTAAAAGTTTAATGCTATACACAAAACCCAATGGCATAGTTATAGATTTCTAAGTTGTTTCATTTTAATGAGATAACTATTTTAATATAAACATGATATGAAAAAATGTTCATAGTTAAAGTATGAACAAAAACAATATATAGTTTTTATATAGAATTAAAAAAATCTAAAAAAATAAAAGGTAATCTTTCATGAATAAAAAGTGGTAGAAATATGTTATGTTGTATTCTGAAATGCACTATATATGTATTCTAAAAGATCAAGCTTCTATTGAATTAAATGTGCATTTCTGTTAAATTAATTGCAAAATTTGCTGTAAGGGTAGTTTTACACAGATTTTATCTATTGAATAAATTATAAGCTTCTCATATCACAAAGACATTTTTTTTTAAAGTTGCATAAATCTATTTATAATACAGTGCTCTATCCAAAAATGCTTTATTTAGCAATGAAGAAGAAGAAAATTCATATTTCAAAATGTAATTTCCTGAAGTAAAATAATTTTGTATGATTTGGAAAGATTGTCACAAATCAAGTAGCAGCTATTTTCAACAGTCAGATTAATGATATACAGTTGATGCTCACAGTGGCATAGCTAGGATTCCAGTGCCTGGGGACAACTGAAGAATTTGCACCCCTTTCTGTGTGCCAAGAATGGAAAACTTTTAATTAAAAAATTTCATAGCATCAATTTGGCACTGTCTGGATGCTGCGCCAGGGGACAGATGTCCCCCCTTGCCCCACCCTAGCTACGCCACTGGATGCTCACTATAATAACCACTTGTTACAGCGACTATTCCATTAAAATGACAGATACATAAAGTCCTCCATATACGAGAGTATATTAAATCTATTTTTGCTAAAGAAATCATTTCTCAGGACTCTTTTTCCCATAGGACTTAAGGTGTCTTTACAATAAGCATCAACTGTATTAACATAATGGATCTGTTTATAGTGCATTTCGTATTTTGCTATGTAAATTATGAACAAAATTAAGATAAATTCTTTAAGCAAATACAACAGATAATTCACTAATTATATTTTCAATTGTAATAATACATTATTAAAGGAATAAAAATGTGAGACATTACAAGAATTACCATGAACAATAATGAAAATTTATTTAATTCCCCCCATGTTCCCATGTAAAAAATTATCATTGAAAATTAAAAATCTAAATTTATTAATAAATAAGTAAAAGTTGATACTTCGGGACTTTGTCAAAAAAACCATTCACATTTTTAAAAGCTGATAATTTTGAATTTTATCTTCATGATGATTACAAGCAGTAATCATAAGGTCATAATGATGCTTTAAAAATTATTTATTAAGCATTAATAAATTTAGATTTTTAATTTTACCATATTTTGCCATTTATTTTTAAAATTGTAAATTTTAAAAAATAACATTTATTATTGCTTTCATAATATTTAAAAAATCTATTTCTTAAACAAACACATAAATATTATACTGATTCTTAAATTTTTTTATACTTAATTAAAACAAACAACACAGTGGAAGCAGATTATTTCTATCATTACAAATAATCTAATTCAAAATTGACACTATACCATTGGCTAAGCTAAACAGAGAATCAGAATAGTATATAACATTTATATTTTCCTCCTTTGAGCAAAACTGTGCAACATCATTCATATGGGAATCCTTTACAATTACAATTAATAATTTTCAAAATTTGGAAACTTTATAAAATTTTTTGGTTAAATAATTTTGAAATATATTCCTATAATATTTTAAGCATAATTTGAGAGAGCTGCTATACATGCTCCCTCATTTTTCTTATATTTAATTGGTAAGAATCTTTAATACATTGACAAACTAATTTATAAATATGATAACACAATGCTAAATATAAATTCAATTTATAAAGGGAGAAATATAACACATGAACAAAATCTATTTCTCAATCCCACTGCACACATATCTACCAACTCAGTTAAATGCAACACATACTAAATAATTTATGCAATTTATCAAATAATAAAATATCTTGTTTATATTTATACAGAATATCACAGATGAAGAAATATTAGAAGAAAAAAGACTTTAGGATTCACAGTCTATTCATTTCCCCCCCCAAAAAATCACATTCATAAAACATATGCAAAGTATAGTGAAATACATGTTTGTGAGTCATAATCTGAGTGTGTTGCATTGTAACACACTGTATTTTATGTCATGTTATCAATGTACTAAGATTTTAATAAAAATGCAATTAATTTTTTAAATATTCCTTTAAAGCAAACGAGAGAAAATTACTATAAATTCTTGTCTTAACTTTTTTATTATTAATACACTGACAATTTTGGAGGGAGAGAAATCACTTTTATTGCAACAGTTTTTAAGGTTCCTCTTGTAATAAAATTAAGAACAGCATTTGAAATGTTCATAAATGATTACTATTTCTAGTAATATTACTCATTTTCTCTTTTAGTAACTTCTCAATTTTAATACAGCATAAAAAGTAAAACAAATAGACAGAAATGAGACCATTTCTTTAAATGTTTCTTAATTTCTTTAATTAGACTAGTTTTAATTTACCTACCTTAATTTTCAGGGTACCAGCAACCAAGCGATTAAGTCACTGAACACTGGTAGTTTGACTTGGGTTCAGATTCTGGCAAATGGGCTGGAGGCATAGTTGGTTTTTCCGACATGTAACATGAATACCCTTACCATGTGTAACATGGAGTTCCCTTAAAAAGTCCTGTATAGGGAGATAGCCTTTGAGTTGCTCTGCCTTCTTCTTAATAATCCCTCTGATCTGAATCAGATCCATAAGTTCATTTGCTTTAATTTGTTCATTCACTTTGCCTTAAACAATTAATCTACCTAACTCAAATTCTCAATTTTTACTTTATTAACATGATTTCCAAAATTCTTAATGATATTTGTAAAAAAATTCAAGGCAAAAAACTTCTACTCATATAAATATTTAAATGTACCTAGTAATTTACCATGCTTCTCATTCTCTAAACAGCAAATAACGTTAAATTCCTGTCAAGAAAATTTTTGCCACATTACAACCTTTTCAATCTACATACTCTTCACTTTTTATTAATCTCAAATATTCTTCACATAGATCTATAAAATAGCATTTTTACCTCCTACTTCAGGGAATGGGATTAAATAATAGTAATAAAATTATCTGTTAATAATATCAGTAGTTTTTTTTCTATCTTACAAATCAGCATTAACAGGACTAACAATACTTTTTACTTATAACTATGTGTTACATAGCGATCTCACAACAGCTGCCTCTATGAAATAATTATCACTTAAATATGAAACTGTTTCATTGTTTAATTCGCAACAATTTTATTAAAAAAATTCTGAAAGCTTTCAGATTTTTATACGAGGGCCATCCAGGAAGTAGATTACGTTTCCGTCTGTGTCCGCTAGGGGCGGGGCTAGCGCGGCCATCTTGGGGTCAGAGCGTTGCGCAGCTCAGTCTGCATCTAGCCGTGCTAGTGAGAGGTTCGTGCTGTGCTCCGTTCAGATACTGTGACGGTTTGAAATGTCTGCGTTAATTGAAAATTCCGCGAGGTGCGCTCAGTAATAAGGTTTCTGACTGCAAAAAACTGTAAACCGATAGAAATCTATCGGCAGCTTCGTGAAGTGTATGGGGACAACATTATCACTGAAGGTGGAGTGCGTCAGTGGGTCATAAGATTTCAAAATGGCCGAACCAATGTTCACGACGAAGATCGAAGTGGGAGACCCAGCATAGTGACCGCCGAACTTCTCGAAAAAGTCGATGCTAAAGTCCGTGAAAATCGAAATTTCACAATAACAGAACTTTCTTTGAGTTTTTTCCACAAATTTCGCGAAGTTTGTTGCACGAAATCATCAGCGAAAAGCTTGGTTACCACAAGTTTTGTGCAAGATGGAAGGCAAGAAGAGGTAACGAAGTGGTTGAAGGCGCAGGCGGCCGAATTTTTCGACGAAGGAATTTCCAAGCTCGTACATCGCTACGATAAATGCCTTAATTTGTATGGTGACTATGTAGAAAAGTAGTATTTGAGTGTGGCTTTCATCTGTATATAATAAAATTTGTTTCCTATACTTTGTTTATTTTTTTATTCCAAAACGTAATCTACTTTCTGGATAGCCCTCGTATTACACCTTAAACAGAATTTTAAAACTTTTTGTGCGTTACCTTTATTCATTAAATATCATGTTCTTAGCACTTAAATCACATAAAATTCAACAGCAATATCACAAAATATTCAAAAACAGCATATCTTTAGAATTTCCAATACACAGTCTTGCACACTGGAGATAAAAGTGCTTTTTTCCCGTACAGTGTTGCCATTGCTTGCTTTGAAATCATTTAATTTATTAATCAAAAATTCATTAAAGTTTTACAAAACTTGAAATAGATAATAAAACAAATCCAAAATCCGGGCTTCCAAGTGCTAAATTTCAAGGTTAACAAGTTTGTGCAGTATTTTAATTTTAATGTGAGAAAACTTTTGCTTTAAAACAAGCACATTAAATTCTAAAAATAATTACTACAAGAACTAATTTAAAATGGAGAGATCTCAGAAATTATTATATTGCAAAATAGTTTTTTTAAAATAATTTATTAATTTCCCCCTTCTAATTTTTTATTCACTTTTAGGAAATTCTTTCCGTAAAAAGCCTTTATTCAACAAAGTTTAATTATGAAAAATTTTAGTATCATATTATCAAAGGAAAATAATCCACTGTGAAATTTCAAACAGTTTTTTTACAAATAATTGATTAGTAGAGATGAATTCAATAATTCAAGAAAGCATATATAATTAATATTATTGAAGGTAGGAGATAAAAAATTCAGCTTCATTAATAGCTGATGTTTGTCTCAAATGTTCTCATGACAAACTGATGCAATATATCTGCTAAAAAATATACATAAAGAATATTGAAAATAATATGAAAGACAGCAGGCTGTTAAGTGCAGAAAGGTGATAAATTATACAAATATCAAGTTAAAAATTATATAAATATCACTGTCAGATTTACCAAGAAATAACTTGTACAAAATATACATCTTAATTCTCTCAGTACTTTTAAAATATGCTAATATTTTTAGGCAGGCCAATGAAAAATATTTTTAAAATGATGGAATGTGCTATTAAATTGATTGTTACCATCTTCATGAAATCGCAGAAGACACAATTTTAGTCTTTAGCATTTAAAGATAAAAGTAAAAAAATTAAGAGAGATTATAAACTATACAAAGAAGTGACATATCAATTAAAACACAATAGCTAGGCAATAATGTTTTTATTTTTGAGTGAGAATTGCAGTACAAGAAAAAGACTAGACAGCTACAAAAAAGGAATTGCATGGGATTTCTACTTAAACTGGCAGTGACATTTGAAAGACACGACTTAACAGAATTAATTTTCTCATTATTGTGTAGACTTCACTATATTATTGAATAAGGAAAAAGTATTATATACTTTTAAAGAAAATATTTTAAAAGCATTTTTTTTACCTAATTTTTACCACACAAACCTAATTTTTTATCAACTAAATTTAATGATAAAAATTATTTAAAATCTCAAATTTAATAATACTTTTTACGTATAATGCAGGGCATACTTTTAACTGTCATTAAATTCTGCATCTAATGATAAATATAATTTGGGTAACAGCTTCAGCCTTTTTTTATGTACAGTATTATCAACTTACATGTTTAAATAGATAAGTAGAGTAAAATATTAAAAATATAAAAGCCAATTGATTTACTTACAATAATTTAACATTCCTATGTGGAAATCAAATATGAATATATAACTATTCCTTTTATAAAGCGTAAAATTCTTTTAACATTCATTTGTTGGTCAAACATCCTACAATTTTCTATTCAGATACAATCTAAAATGATTTTAAAAAAAGCAAATTCTCTAACAATTATACAATCTAAAATATTTTTTTAAAAAAGCATATTCTCTAACAATTAAGTTTACTGAATACATCAGCCACTACCAAATTTAGAATGAAATCTATAAAAATCATACTTCTCCATGTATTACTATAAAATTATTCTTTTAAATTTTATACATACATGTAACCCTGCTTCCTTCGATGTGACGAAAATAATATAGGAGTTCAGAAAATTATATTTTCTATTCCATACAATCTAAATAGTAAAAATTATAGTTTCAATTTAATGTACATACAATCACCAGAAAATATAACAGTTAAATCATCCAAATAATTTAAAACATTAAAAATCTATAAAAATATAATAAGAAATACATTAAAATATTGTCAGAAATTACTTTAAGCTGAAGAACATGGTATAAAATGCAAATTGCATTAAACTATTATCAGTTCTTATCATAATCAACATAGCAAAATTAATGACCACAACTGTTACATATATACACAATACACAATACAACCATATGAATGGTTACACACTTTTGCTCACATATAAATTACTAGAAACTGGTCCTCTGACAAAAAACATCACCAAGATGGTAATCATTCATATATATATAGATTGATATATATGAGAAATTAAAAAATGGGATTTTTAAGTAATCTTTTCTGACGATAATCATATACTTTTCTACAGAATAGAACAAGGTCTGGTGATACATTAATGGGTGGAAGTTTCTTTTTCCTGGGATACTCTTCTCCATCAGGTACAACGGATATCGGAGTTATCGTACAATCCTCAGCCAATTTGCATTTCCTTCTATACCTACAATTATGGAAAAAAAAAAAAAAAATTAAAAGCATCACTGCATTTCTTTTACATAGCTTTATAGCTGATAAATTAAAAATTTTAAAAGAAGAATATACCTGCAGTATTCTAAATATGTAAGCACATAGCATTTATCTTCAATGCATGCCACACTATTTACATCTCTATGTTTAGATGCAAAGATTTCATCCTCCATATGATGTATTTTCTTCTCTGTTTCTGTATGTTCAGGGCGATAATACCAGAGTAAGCTCATGGTCATTTCACCTATTAAAAAACAAATGATTATAAGGGATCTGTGTCTGAAGTATTAGTAATTTAAAGATGCAGATATAAATTCTGAAGTAATTAGAAATAATTTTGAATAACATTATCAGTTTTCAAACTTTAAGATAATAAAAAATTAATTTCAGTTAATAAAAGCAATGCATGTACTTTTATTTTAACATCACTAAGTACTTTAGAGCAAATGTTATAATTATTTTTAATAGCTTATGCTGAATTTGAAGAAAAATCCATATACTCTATAAAAAACATAAAAGATATGGAATTAATGCTTAATATGATATAGCTCTGCTGTAATAAGTGCTAATTATTTGCTCTACACAAACAAGGGCTTCAGTATCTAAGTTTACAGAAATGGAAGTAATTGTAAGATATATTGTTATTGTATTGTTACCAAGTCATATATCACTGATAAAAAAACTCAAGATATGCAAAATACAGAGTATGTTTGTAAGAAATACATGGTTGCTACTTAACCAGCTTTTCATATTTTTTACATATATGGCATTTTATAGAAGACAAGGTGGTGCTGTTTTTTTCTTTGGACTGGCACCTTATAGCAAGGACAGTATGCTCTCATTAATTTTTTCTTTTAGAAGGACCAAACAGTAATGCAATAAAAATAATATCAACTGGAAATAAAGCATACAGAAATAAATATACTACCAGAAGCACAAAATTCTATGTTTATGTAAAACTCTCCTTCACATTTAGATGTTGTAAGACACATTTATTTATTAATTTTTTGGTCTAATACTATAATACAAAAATAATCTCAAACCTATTTTTAAATGAATATCATTAATCTTGGCTGGAAAGGCCAACCAAATTTTGAAAATTTACCTGAATTAAATATGGTTTCCATCTCTTTAAAAGAAATTCACCTTAGCATTCATGCATTACTGTGACTAGAATGTTTCTTGGAAATTTCTAACTGTACCTTGGTAACCACCAAACTGTACCAAAGTACCTTTGTAAATTGACCTGAATATGCTGTATAGAATAAAATTAGAAACTATGTAATTCGGATTTCAGCCTCAGAAGTAGGAAGAGTCACAAGGGGCAAACTGTGATGAATAATGGAGAAGGTAGAACCAAAATGCGTTTTCAAAGCATTGTAGTATGGTTTTGTCAAGGCAAAGTAATCAGTCTCCATCCTTCTGTAAGGACCTGGAGTTCTTTAGTAAAAAATATTCTCCCTTAAATGTTTCAAAGCATCAAATGAAATGTAACATTGACAATCCAATCTGGAGGAAAAATTCTAAGTACACAATTCACTTCATTTAGAGATACTATCAGTACAGTCTTTGTCAGATTCCTAGATTTTCTTGGCTTCTCTGGTCTTTTAGACTTTGGGATCATCCATAGCAAGGCCTCCTTTTTTCTTATCTCAGTGTTATAGTTCATTATTTTCAAAAACGATGGAAGTTATACTCGATTACTCATGGAGAATGCTAGACAAACTTCTTCAGAACATATAACTGAACTAACGTCTATATGTATCTTGACAAGATCAACGATAAAAACAAATAAACTAGTTTGTTAACCTCATTGCTCCGTAATATTTTCAAATCCTGCAAAACAGCTGACTGGAATTTTCCATGTTTATCATAGATATATATTGCCTGGAAGAATTTCAGACTGAAATAGATGTTTATATAGAAAGATAGCAATGAAGAAACTGATTAAATTTAATTAAGGGATAAAATAAAATCAATAAAATTTCAACAAGAGATACAGAACAACAGCGAATTAAAGTATGAAATGTCTAAAAATATAAAGGCACAGCAATAATCTAATAACACTACAATCTCAGTAGAAGTAAAAGTATTAAAGAAATCAGTGCATAATAAACGACAGATACATTTTCCGAAGCCATCGTAAAATTAATTTCATGAAAATTATGTGAAGACCTTATTTCAGATCAGAAGTAGGCAGAAATTTTGGCTTGTGGCTACATTAAAATTTTACAGGTATTTTGAGCCACATATTAAAACAGAAGTGGGGGGGGGGAAAGAGAGCATGTGTAGTGTCTGATTAAAATTACCTTTCAAACTTAAAACTTCATGTTACCATCTGACTCTTTAAAAAATAATATAACATTAAAAAACTTTGAAAGCTATAAAAATAATAATAATAATAACAAAAAACTACAAATAATTCATTTTATTTTTAAATAAAAATGTTTTACTGTTGCCAACTTAAAACTAAATCTTCCTTACTGAATAAAATTAAAACTCAAAAACAATTTCAAAAGCCCTAACATTTGTTTCTGCACTTCTTTTTTTTTTTTTTTGAATATAAAATGATATAAATAAAAACTTTGTTTTTTGTATTCAGTACACCCCACTATTATGCAGGTTCATATACAACAGATTCATATAACATTGCAGAAAAAATGTGACCACGTTCGTATAACACGCTATAAGAGGTTTATATAACACTGTAAAAGAATGCTACAGATGCTGCGATTTTAGTTTTGGTATGAAGAATTAATATAACTTATGGCTAATTATTGAAATGGCAATTCAGAGTTATCTTGAGAAACATGTTACTCATAAGATCAGCCTGTTAAGACATGGGTAAAAATTTTATTTTTAGATAGAATATGAAAAAAGGGGAAGAACACTAGAAATTGACTTGAGAGAGAGGAGCAAAAACATACTGAAGCAACCTATGGAAAAATAAGACCCTTTTCAATCTGACAACTACTGCCATGGAGAAGAATTCTAAGAACAGCTGAACATGTATATCTCTTGAAGAAAAAATTAAAAATGTATAAATAAATTTTTATACATTTCTTGTGAGAGGGGGAAAAAACATTTATTATTCAATAAGCAAAAAGTGTCTTAGCCTGATTATTAAAGAACATTATTTTAAACATTACAAGTAAGTTAATAACTTTGGGCTGTGAACAGCTCATGTATTTGCGTAAACTAAGTTACTTGTACAACATGGATTCATACAACACAGAATGATCTATCATGTTATAGAGAGGTCTACGGTAAAAAACTATTGAAAAGGTACATAAGCATATCAGCAAAATTTTTTACAGAAGTAAAGAAAGGACTGTAATCTGTACATTACTAAAAACTTTGTTTTTTTGTATTCAGTTTCATTCAGGATACAGATGATAATGTTAAAAACAGAATGATCATGTGATCAGACGGCGCGATTAAAGGTCATCCGAATTCTTTTCCCGGCAGGCCTTGCAGCAAATGTTTATGTAAATTAGACTTTGAATTTGGGTATAACATATTTTCTTGTTTACTAGGCTAGTTTTAATTCCTGTTCTTGGATTAATTATGCATTATTGTTAATCTCAGATTAATTACTGTTCTTGGATAAATTACGCTTGGATTTTTCAGTATGATATGCTTTCTGTGTGTGATGTCAATAAAAATCAGAAAAAACTAGACAACATGGTCTTCATTCAAGAATCTCATTCAATTTTCTAGTGATGATAAATGGGATTTTTTTTCAGATAATATACAGAAGAATTAGAAATTTTAAAATCAATATATTTAAAAGGTACTGCATCCTTTTCATTTATCATGTTTGCAAAATAACACTTGTTGCAAAAGGTTATTAAGAAATATGGAATGAAATACATTTTTAAATGATTCACTGTCTTACACTGATTAACAATGATTTTTAATAATTAGAAATTAAATAAAGATCTTATTTATAATTTTATGTTTGGCAACAAAAGAGTTCTATTTATCTGATCTCTGAAGTAAACAAAATTTTATAACTATTCATACATAAGAATCTTCCACACTTTTTTCTTATTATGTTATTTTTTACTTAGTTTCTGATATCACTTAACCACTCCAACTTTTTGTAAATTTTTTAAAAAATGATTTGTTAGATGTTTTTTACTGTCCCTGAGAGAATGTTGAAACAAAAATGTGCATGTTACTGTTACATTCTTGATTAATTACAAGTATTATGAAAACTTATGAGCTTACCAGTGCTTATGAGAATATAAACAAACATTAATACTGATAACTATAATAGCATTCTTCAAGACAGCTCTCTAATCCATTAGACTAAATATTCAATATATTTACCACCAAAGAGTTTAATTTTATTATCAAACTGAAGTATTTTACAAATAACATGAATCAAAGAGTTACATTTCTGGGCTTTATTGTAAAAGTAAAATTATGTTTATGCAAAGTATTTAATCACCATTTCTACGATTTAGTGTAGTAAAGCACACAAAAGTTATTTATTCAGCATTGCATAACTTACCATATAAAACTGCTACAGATTATGAAACAGCATCTGTAAAACAATTTATCACATTTCTATACTGTTTACACTAACTATTTCATTTCCCTTCTAAGAAGTTAGTACTAATGTTATCATTGAAGTTAGCATGATAAATAAATTATGAAATAATGCTAAAAGCTTTCATCCTTCCTTTAAAATTTTATAAGCTTTAAATAATTTACCTTTGATCAAAATGTTTTTAAATCAAAAAATGTTTTAAGTTAGAAGCACAACTAAAAGTTATTGAAGATATTTCTGAAAGTGTCACAAAGGGAATTAACAGATTCCAATGGATGTATATTTAAAGTAATAGTTTTAAATATACATCCATTGGAATCTGTTAATTTAGCTTGTTTTTAAAATTGCTTACTAAGATTTATAATGTTTGCTTACTAGGTTTATTTCACTTACTGTTTTACATGTAAGATCTCTTTTCAATATTTAAAAATATGACTAGAGTGTAAGAATCTTAAGTTTTACTAACGTTTATTTTATTTTAACCCTTTGATGCGTGGTGGTCACATCCTGAAACCACAAATTTTCGAATTTTTTTCCCCTCTTCTTTCCGAAATGTTTGAGTGAAAATCAATTGATTACTTATCTTTTAACTCTAAATAACACAAAATGACTGCAGAATCATACATGTTTTAAGTCTTAGTACTTAGTCAAATCAGATGCCTTTTAAAATTCGTTTTCAATGAAACAAAATAACTTCCTTTTGTTAATATAAACAACTTTAAATTTCAAAAGTTATTCATCGCACATCATGATTTTTATCGTGAACAATAGAAAATTGCAAAAATTAAACTGCATATCTAAAAAAACTATCTATATTTATGGCATTTGCTTTGCGGTTTCAGGGCACAACCACTGAGCCACTAGAGCATTGTGTCACAATGCTTACAATCCTCTAGAGGCTCGGTGGTCACACCTTCAAAACCACTGCTTTTCACAATGGCGTTTGCTTGCTTTTCAAATAGGAATGTTTATTTTTACCTGGATATAAATAAGGTCCTTTAAAATGACAGAGTTATTTTATTACTAAACAATACATACACCTACCCAGTGAAAAGGTCTTTCTTTTCCAGAAATTTTTCTCTAACCTCAAACACACTTGCTTCCCAAACTAGTATTGTGATTTTCTAAATTATTTGGTGTGGTTTAAACTTAATGTAAATACACTTTGCTATAATTAAAAATAGAAATAATTGCATAAAAGATTTATTTAAATTAAAAATATTTTTTAAATATTTTGGGATGGAATACAAATAAAATAAATATGAATGGGAAACGAAAAGACCAAGTTACCCTCCCCATTAACATAAAAAACCATCAATTTCATGTGCCAGATGAAAAGAAACTAAATAACACTGGACAAATACCAGTGAAATTTAGAAGATCCAGGCAGTGTACATTTTGTAGCACATGGAAGAAACCTCATAGAACAAGATACAAATGCGAAATGTGCTATGTTGGTCTATGCATGTACCAAAAAGACAAACCATGCTTTGAACAGTGTCACAAAATGAAAAAAAAAAAAAAAAAAAAAGAAAAAAAAAAAAAAGAAAGTGTTCTTTGAAATTTAAAAAAAAAAAAAAAAAAAAAAAAAAAAAATTTTTTTTAATCCTTTTATTCAGCAATTTTTTAGTTAGTATCAAAGTTATCCTTACTTTACTGAGTTTTTTTTATCCATTTATCCGAACCTCCTTATTATGTAGGTACTTACATTTTCACTGCTACAGAAAAATTACATAAATGTTTATTTTTTTAATTTTTTCTGACGATTTACTTTGTAAAATAATGTAAAAAATTTACATATAATGCAATTCTTACATACATTTTTTAAAATTTGTAAATTTCGTCATTTATTGGAAATGTGCATGGAATAAGGTAAGTTTTTTTTCCCTACTACCTCAGTAAGTTTCAAAGCGCTGGTTTCACAGTGCGACCACCACCCAAAGAACAATGGCCAAGAATAGATATTTTTTAAATTCATATATTACTTGTCTCTAGGATCATAATATTCAATTTCTAAAATTTTTAGTTACAAAAATTATAAAAATAATATAGTGCGTGCCAAAGGGTTAAAACTTTACTATCATCTCTTATTTTCCACTTCCAGCCAGAATAAATGCGTGAATATGTTTATGCAAATTGTACTTGCTAATGCTTAAGTATTTAAGCTGTGGCTTTTTGCCAAGAGCAGAGTTAGATGGAAAGAAAGTGAGCTGCCTTGCCACTGCATTCCACGTGAGTACTTGCTGTCTACCTTTAAGGCCAGAGGTTTAGCCCTTTCGATATTTAAAACATATTGCAGTTTTTCGCAGTTTGTGCTCTACATACATAATCAACTAAAAGGCCAACCTTCACTTTAGTCATCTGTATCAAGTATAGCTTTTATTTAAATTTAGTTAGTAGTTTTTATATTTTTACGTTCAGACCACAAGTGGTTGATCTTTGTATCCCGAAGTGTGGGAGCGTCTTTAAAACAGTGGAGAATAAAGGGTAATTAAACCCTTCTCATCTTGTCATCTCTTATATACTCCAACATAGTTTGTAGTCAAACTCAGTGTCTAGTCAGGACATGTCATGTTCGCCAAACAGATTAGGAGAAAATAGGATATAAAGTAATTTTTTAAGTAATCTGTTTATTTTTGCTAGAATAATTGCTACTTACCTTTGTAATAAATACATAAGTTTAATACTGTAATGTAATTCTAAACAGCATACCATATTTCTATTCAGCAATTTTTTAGCAGACCCCAGAAGAAAGACCCAGAACTGACGAGAATTGCTGATTGTCAATTTCTCTTAATATGACTATTTTCACAGAAGACTAAAATTATCCAGAATCATGAGAGATGATCTTGCAAAAGATTTATTGTATATGAAATATCATTAACTTGAAGGATTGTCAAATATTTAAAAAAATTTAAAACTACTTTTTTTAATACAAATTATCTGAAATAATAAAAATTTAAAATTCTCTTGTCAGTTGTAACTAATATCAATGCTACCAATGTTAATGAAAGATATAGAATTTATTCAAGATGTTATTATCTATATACAAATGTACAGTTAAATATTACTTAAAAATGCTAGTTTTTACAGAATACGTGTTAGCAACGAATTGTTTAGATAACAAGTTTTAAAATATTTTTTGCTGATAAGTTGCCTTTTATAATTAAACTGCTATATTATTACTATATTAACATATATATTTTAAAAAGATTTCTTTTGTAATGCACATCATTTTAATGCTGCAGGGTTTTACTTGATCCCCTGTCCAATAACCCTAACAGACATAAAGTGAATTATTGCTGTGTCTGAAGTAACTACAAAGTCGTAAGAAGATTTAAACAGAATTTAGAACATAAACACAGTCTCTTCTGCAACAGTATAAGCCACAGCTCATCGTGATGTAACTAAACATAACAGACAAATGTAAGTTAAATGTGGAACAGTAGTCAAAGACTACATGATTAAATATTACTGAAAGCTGGCTCAATAACTCTATCGAAGCATCAAAACCAGTGTGTTAGCAGAGATAGAATGCAAAGACAAAAAATTACAACTATCAGAGCTAGCAGGAAACTAACATGTAATATGCCATTTGTTTTCGTATCTAAGCCAGAAACAAATTCCATCTTTAAATCCAAAACCTTCAGTTTAAGTACTGGCAAACTGATTTGCATTAACAGTTTGTTGAGGAATACAGAAAGAAGATATTATAGTAAGGACCGAAATCATAATAACTGGTTAATTTAGAATAATTACCTTATAATTTTATTAACTGTTCTCAAAATATGCAACATGGTTTTTGGTCACATGAAGTGTAAGTTTGGAAATTTACAAAATAATATTACAGATTCAGAAAACTTACCATCTGTAGGATTATTCCATAAAGCCGTCACTTTTGCTACAAATGGTACATCAGTTTTACGTGGACCCGATCTTAAAAGTACACAATCTCGCTCGCATATAACATCACCTTCCACATGACGTATAGAAGGATAACATTTTCGGATGCAAGGTGGATCATCATTCTGTTAAATAAGACACGTGATAAATATATAATTATACTATGTGAATTAAATTTTGAAGCACAATGTTCTTTTAATCCGCACAGTGTTTTTTTTTTTTTTTTTTTTCTTCTTTGAAATTCAATTTAGAATATTTTAAGTTAAATGTTGAAGTGGATTTTTTTTAAAACTTTTCCACGTATTCTTGTTTAGTGATTAGACTAAATGCCATAAAATTTTGAATTCTACATAATCAGTTAACTGAAAAATAATCTACCAAATAAACTTTTTCCTGGAAACTAGCATAATTTACAGAATTTTTTAGCTGTCATGCAGCTATTAAAAATGCTAAGGAGTTAGTTTCTTATATTCAGAGATAGTACTTTTCTTACTTAATTATTTTAGTGCTTTTCTGTTATCAGCACCAGATTCAGGAATGTTTGTATATATGCTCGTGTGTATGTATGTGAGTAAATGTGTGTGTGTACACATATGTACATACTTACAAGTGTACATACATACATCAACACATCCCTCCATCCATACATGCATACTTATATACATGTCTGAATGTGGTCCTGATAACAGAAGAGTACCTACTCTTCTTTTCTGTGGATTAAATAGTATTAAAAAAATCTTTTAAAAACTACCATTTTTCAGTTATACTGCTTCAGTTACATACATTGAAAAGTAAAATTAATTATTATAGCTATCAAAATAATCTTAATTGTATGCAATTAAGAATAAAATCATGGGCAGCCATATAAGAACTGTGTCAAATATTACCAAGATTTGAAGAAATGATGGAAATTATAGCATAGAAATGATACATATTATTATGTTCAATTACTGTAACATTCTCTTTTGGAAATTTTGGTTGAAAATCCATCATTATTAACAACAGCACAATTTTATTTCTAATGATACATGATCAAAAATACTGCAAAAGTAATAACATATTTTTTACTTTTCGGTACATTTAATTAAAACCTTATAACTTAAGAAAAGTTTACATGCACTATATGGCCAAAAAGCCAAAAATAGACTCAGAACACACATATTAATCGATGTTAGTTCACCATCTGCATCAATCACAGCACTCATCTGGGAATATTTCCCACCAACTTTCGATGTACACTCAAGTGCCAGAAAGCTAGTTCAGAGTACCTTATGCAAATGGTTAAACGATAACTTTACTTATGTGCATATTCCTTTGTATCTGTACATGTATACATAAAGTAAAAGACATCCCTGCCAACTATCAAAGCTGTTTACCACATGAAAATGACGAGAAATAACTTCAGTATGGTGTCGTAGTTGATGTTCATTAGATAAGCCATAGCATTTTGGATGAAAAAATGAAGTTCTGATTTTTACCAGATGATGTACTGTGAGTACAAGAATTCTGGAAAAGTGTCCAAATTTATAACTTCAGAGTGGCTATAATAGAATGATGCATGAATATAATCATTGCCAATAATCAGTATCATTACATATGACAGATGAGTAAAACACTGGCAGGTAACATCAGAATTTACTGTAGTTTCAATAAGCATCAGCATTTGGACTGCAGAATGAATGTAGATTTTATGAGCTGACATGTACAGGTAAAAAGTGTTGGGAGCACCAGAAACTTCATTTAAGATTGAACAGATATACATTCCAATGACTAACTGCCTTGAGCAAATTAAAAAAGCTATTGACGATTCTTTGGAAATGCACAGGTTATTATTAAGAGAGATGTTTTGATTAAGAGGTAAACAAAGGGAGAATATTCAATACCAAGCAGTGGATGGACATAGCCTACATTGCCAGGACTGCCTCCTCCAGTGGAGACCAGGCCTCTCATTCATATCACAAGCATTTATTAATTTTGTAGATAAAATACATAATTATACAAATACAAAATACATAAATAAGAATAAACATGAAATACATAAGTACATAAGATGAAAGATATACATAAAATACACAGAAATAATATAAATAATAATACATAAAATACGAGCTGACAGCCAGTTCGAGTCCCACTGAAGTATGCATAATACAGAATTATACATTTTGACTGGGCACAAAAATACCGACAGCGTATACTTGAGGCCGGAATGTAGTGTGGACTGACTGTATCAGGCAGATGAAAGAATTTGCATGGGATGCAAGCCTCATAAAGCCATAGATCCCATCTGTCAAGAGGATGCAGTACCATTGAGTAGCGGTCCATTATGATATAGGTTTCTTTAGCTAGAAACCACTGGGATCACTGTATACAAATATCTCAAGTAGTTAATAGTATGTTACATTTTTTCTGATGAGGTACATGTTCTGCATTCATGTTGATAAACTGGAATTGTTCCAACTAAACAATTCACCTCCACACAAGTATTAGGATTCTGTGTTATGATTACAGAAGCATTCATCTTAGTTTAGACGCTTGCTATTCCCACCCAAGTTACTAGATTTGAACATGATAAAACATATTTAGGATGGCATGCAGTGTGTTAAGGAAACGTGAAGTCTGCCTACAGCCTATTTATATAGAAACTCATGGAGTTCATGTTGCATCGTAATTATGCAGTAATTTGTTCCTGTAGTGGCATAAGGAATATTAGATTGGTGTATCAGTTTTACTGGCACTTAATTATACATATGTAGGAACTGTCTTCCATTCCTCCATGAGAATTGCAGTGAGTCTCACTAATGAAGGAGAGTTTGGTAAAGTACAATCTGCATTTCAGATTTTTTAAGAGGTTAAGTTTAGATAAAGGCTTTGTGAAAGCAGTTCAGTTTTTCAACATCCATCCCTTCAAGCAATGGAAACACAACTTTTTACATATAGACAAAATAGATACCCTGCTGATACAAATATGGTTCTTTCTCATATTATTGCCAGAAAGTTGGTTGTACAGAATTGACAAGAATATTAAGATATATATTGGCATTCATTTTTCCAGCCATAAAAACAAAAGGACCCAATCCAAGCCCCACACTTTGATGCTCTTGTCACCAAACTTGACATCTGTCACAATACATTGGGATATGAAATGTTTTTTTTTTTTTTTTTTATGGCATTTGGCAGGTCCAGATGTATTCATCAGACTGCCACAATGCGTAGTGCAAAGAAAAGCGGCCACACAGCCCATAGATACCCATATTTTTCAGCTGCTGATGAAGAGTTCTATGCTAGGAACAATATCAGAGAAACTTTGAAATTCATGAGGATTCACTGCCACCGAAGGCAAAATTCTTATAAATTTTTATACACTTCCTTTTCTGGTTCAGTTGCTGTGATCACTATGTTTAAGTGGTCTACTACATCATTTTCCTGTTTCACATCTCAGATGTTTACATTTCATAACAACATAACCTACAATTGATTTATGCACTTTAACCAAGGGCAATACTTTTATTATCAGATTAACTGCACCTATGATACCCAACGAGGATGTTTGAAATTACTCTACTTATTTGTTATCAGTCTAATTCTTTTAGAACTGACCTATTTCACTAGTTTGTAGTTTTGTTAAAAAGTATCTAATTTTAATGTGGTTTCCAGCAAAAGATTTAGGAAGGAGGAAAATTTAGTGGTCTATCCTGTTTTTGATGTGTAATGCCGGAAAAAGAAGAAATAAGAAATAATTAAACCCAGGAAATGCTATACAAGGAGGGATGGCTTGCACCTATAAAACGTTGTTAAAAACTCTGATTGCCATGTGGCATATCAAACGTAACTAGTAAAGGTTTGTATAGGTTATAAGGGCTTATAATCACTTACTTTACAGTAGGTGTTGAAAATGACCACCACCCTCCTGGCGTAGGCATAACCGAACTCACTGCTCCATTTTGGCTGCAACATTCTATAATGTGTCAGCAGGGATGTTTGTAATTTCTCTAGAAATGTTGCAATTTAATTCGTCTAGTGTCTGTGGTTTATTGCGATAGACAAAACCCTTCAGAAAAAAAACCATAAGAAGAAATCTGAGAAGGATAGATCTGATGACCACAGAGGCCACAAACCTTTGCAAATAATGGAGTTCCCAAAGAAACTCCTGGTCAAATCCATACTTTCTTTTGATGTGTGGCACCATCATGCTGGCAATACTCCTCAGCCAGTTCCATGTCATCTAGCTGATCTACAAATTCATTAAAAATATGCATGTAGTGCTTGCTGTTCACTGTTCCCTTTAAACTGATCCTTTAGATGCGAGTGATGGACAGAGCACACCAGACTCCAACTTAGTCTGAATGAAGTGACATCTCCATTATTGCATGTGGGTCTTCAGTTGACCAGATGGCTCTATTCTGGAAATTGACTTATCTGGACAAGCAAAACCAAGCTTCAATATCAGTGCCAGCTCCAGAATGTTGGGGATATGGTTGATGAACAACAAGAACCACTCACAATAGTCTACTTGCTTCATCCTGCCTGGGTCTTGCAAATCCTGCACCATTGTTACTTTGTATGTATGTTTTCATTCCGGATGATTTAAAAGCTCTCTGACATGTAGAGTAACTGTATCCAGTCTCCTGAGAAAAATGTCAGAGAGATTTCTTTAGTGACCTTAGCATTCTCCAACATTATCCGCTACAACTTCATGTGGTATTCTGAGCTTTCCCGTTTCAGAAAGCATAGAACTCGTTACTTCCAGTTTCCGCACAATGGCCAATACTGTATTATTTATGGGTATGTCTACATGAAACTCTTTCTGATATGCTCGTTGGGTTTGAACAGTGGACTCCAGTATGTCTTCACAACAAACACACGTGCAGCCAACGGATACAACATGGTGACCAATTTCACTTTACTCAATCACAAGAATCATATGCGACACACAACACTGAACTAACCTGAGAAGAATGTGTGGAGTTGTTATGTGGCCTTGGTAGATCAAGTGTTCTCTGGAAGCGATGCAGGTTACATCTATTGGTGAAACGTCAAACTATTCTGACTTCAATGGTATGCAGTCTCTCTAGTATGGAATTTTGAGGAATGTCACAGTTTTCATTATTTATTTCTTTTTTTCCGG